AACAGAGAACGAAGAAGATTCGATAGACATGCAAGTAAAGTCAGCAATGAAAACGCTTTTTGCTGCATTTGGACCGAAACTCAAGATTACTAAAAAATCAACAAAAAAGCAAGCAAGCGAGCCAACGCCTCAAAATCTACCCGCTCCTATCCAGACGGCGAGAGCACCGACACCTAAACCCAGAGAGCCCTGCAGATACCACTCCACGCCGCAGACTGATCCAAGGACCAGCGCCTTCAGCAAAAGAAGACGAGCGCCCGCTATCACCAGGACTCCCAAGATCGAGCCGGAGACTGATTCATCGGAAGAAGAACGAAGCGAGAGAGCTGCAGCAGCGAGAACCTCTCACGATGACTCCAGGAACGAAATGAGCAACGCGCATGCGCAGGACTACGCAGACAACCCAGGAAGACATGAGATGCAGAGAGAACCATGCAGACTCGTTGCGAGCATCCCCACGCCGTTTTGCAACTTTCGACATTTGCAAGACCACAGACTACCCCCGGTTGTAAGTAATGGACCCAACAATGTTGGGAATTTACCCAGTGACTTCCCAAAGCTGAGAATAGATGGCATTAATTTGCAAGAATGGTATCAGCAGCTCCAGGTTGTCTTTATGAAAGAAAACTTACTATTTTTTATTACTAACCCCCCAAAAAGACCTTGGACTCTAAAGTTAGATTGCCTACATCATAGAGCATTTTTCTTATTAATTTCCAGTGTGTCTCCTGCCATGTATCACAGTATTAAGCAAAATCTGACTGTCTCAGAAATTATTCAATGCATGTTTAATTTGTTTCACAGTGAAAGCGTAGCCACTACCACAAGAATGTCTAAAGATTTCTTCTCTTCTAGGATAAAGCCAGGGGTTACCATAAGTGAACATTTAATATCTTTAAACAAGATCAGAGCAGAACTGCATTTAAGGGGGGAGGTGATTTCAGATCAAACGATGAAAAGTGTTATCATCAATTCACTTGACCCATCATGGGATAATTATATGTCACACTTGGACACAATCAATCTAGGATACTTATCCATAGAAAGTCTATCCAATAAGTTAATAGCTGAAGACAATTCAAGGAGAAGTCATTATAACAACCAAATAGAACACAAACAATATAAAAGGGTAGCATTTCAAGAAAGATATCATGAAACATTTAGGTGCCACAATTGTGGGTCCAAAGAACATAATAGAAGGGATTGTCCCAAAATTCTAAAAGAAAGACATAGGTCAGAATATAGAAATAGGTACAACAACAGACAGTCTTCCATTGATAGACTTAGGTATAGAAGTCCACCCAACTATAGAGAACATAGAGGGGGCAGAGATAATTCAAAGGATAGAAAATCTGGCTCACTGAATGGGCTAAACAAACATGACAACATTAACACACAACAACCAGAGAACAATAATTGGCTTATTGATTCTGGAGCAACTAATCACACTACTAATAATAAAAATATATTATCTTCATTTGTAGAAGATAAATTTGTAATCAAAGTAGCTAACCAAGAAAAGGTTCAAGTTATAGGTAGAGGGAATGTAATCTTACCTGGCCTAGGAAAAATAGAGGGGGTATTACTAATACCTGAAATTCCTCATAACATACTTAGTGCCATAAAACTAAGCAGAGATTCTGACATTAACATTGTGTTCTCAAAAGGAAAAGCAACATTAGAGAAAAACAAAATAAACATAGGTACAGTAATAATCAAAGGAGGTCTACCTTACTTAATGACAAAGGAGGAATGGTTACACAACATTGATTCAAATATGGAAAATGACAATGAAATAGATAATGGAGACAATAGTAACAGTGACAATGAGGAACGTGAGGTAACCAATAACCACATAGATACACACAATGAAAAAAAACCTAAGATAGGTAAACCAATTCATGATGAGTGTGCTCATGTCTTACATAGGAAATTAGGACATGCCAGTTTTCCTGTAGTACAAAAGATGACTGAACATGCAGAAGGTGTTAAAATAAAAAATTGTGAAAACTATTTAGAATGCTCAGTATGTAAATCTACAAAGCTCAAAACTAGTCCCAGACCTAGAAAGTCAACGAGATCAACCAACAAAATTTTTGATTTGGTTCATATGGACCTAGTTGGTCCACTAACACCATCAATTACTTATAAAAAATGTTACTTTCTAACAATTGTGGATGATTATAGTCGTTATGGATTTGTTTACACATTAAAACATAAGGATGAAACTTTTCAGAAATTTAAAGAATTTTACAAACGTATAGAGACACAACACAATATTAAAATAAAACAAATCATGACAGATAGGGGATGTGAATTCATGTCTAAAGAATTCTCCCAATGGCTAAAAGATAAAGGAATGTTACATTACACATCTAGCCCATTTTCTGCATTCCAGAACGGAGTGGTAGAGAGAAAGAACTCAACATTACAAACCATGATTAGATGCACTTTAGAAGATGCTGGCTTAGGTAAACAATTCTGGTCAGAAGCCCTACAATATTCTAATTACACACAAAATAGAACTTGGTCCAGCATTGTAAATAAGACACCATACGAAGTAATGTATAATAGGAAACCAAAATTAGCACACATGCACATATTTGGAGTCACTGCAGACGTACACATACCTAAACAACTAAGGCGCAAAGGTGAGAACGTATCCAGGAGACTTAGATTCATGGGGTACGAGACAGGTACAAAAGGATACAGATTTATCGATAATAATAATAAATTTATAGTTTCCAGAACAGCTGTGTTCCATGAACAGGCCAACTGGTCTAAAATACATCTTAATGAAATATTCCCAAACACCAAACCAGATACCAAACTCCAAGAAAAAAGGATTAGAGAAGAGCACAGTAACAGCACACATAAAAATAAAATTAAAACATGGACAAACAGTCAACATAAAATAAAGACAGATTCATTAACTAAAAAAGAAGCAAGGTATTTACATGACAATGATAGTAAACCAGAAAGAGCAATCAGAAGTAGCAGAAATCAAGTGCCAAACAAATACAAAGATTATGTAATGTATATGGATGGAGAGCCATCAATACCTAACACATATGAGGAAGTGTTAAAACTTCCTCCTGAAGAAAAGAAAAAATGGGAAGCAGCCATGACTAAAGAGATGGATAGTTTACGAGGGCTAAATGTGTTCACCCCTACAGTTGCACCAAAGGACAAAACTATCATTGGCACTAGGTGGATATATAAAATTAAGAATTTAGAAGGAGGTAATACTCTATACAAAGCTAGATTAGTTGCACAAGGTTATGCACAGAAATATCCCGAGGATTATACAGACACATACTCCCCCACAGTAAGAACAGAGAGTGTCAAAACAGCTCTGGTTATAGCATCAGCACTCAACCTCGATGTGTTTCAATACGACATACAGACTGCGTATTTACACGCAAAATTAGATAAAGAAATATATGTAAGAGCACCCCACAGTCAATACACAAACAAAAATGAGACTTGGTTATTAAATAAAAGTTTATACGGGCTGAAACAATCTCGTAAACAATGGTATGACTGTTTAGTAAAAGTTCTCAAAACTATGAATTTCAATGCCACTACTGCTGACAATTGCTTCTTTGTTAAAAAAGATAATAATTCCCTAGAATTTGTATTGATCTATGTGGATGACATTTTATACATAGGTAAACATAAAGAAAGGAAAGAGGCATTTGTAACAAAACTGAATGAACATTTTTCATTGAAATCTTTGGGTAAAGTAAATAAGTATCTTGGTGTTCAAATCAGTAAAACCAGAAGGGGATTTAAACTCTCTCAAAGGGACAAAATCATAGAGCTCTTGAATAAATGTAATTTAAGTAACGCTAAGCCCTGTGACACTCCCATTCAAACTGATTTTTTGAAGAATGCAGAAGAATCATCTCCTGAATTCAAAGATAATACATTTTACAGGTCTGTCATAGGTTCACTTCTTTATATATCCAATTGGACTAGGCCAGATATTGCTTTGCCTCTCAATTTATTGTCCAGACATGTCAGCAAACCATCACTATACCATTGGGAAGCAGTCAAAAGGATATTAAGGTACTTGAAAAATAGTTTGGATTTCTGTTTATTGTTGGAACCTAATAATGTTACGCCGATGCGGATTGGGCTGGAGATACCTCATGTAGAAAAAGCACATCTGGTTATATATTCTTTCTTAATGACTGTCCAGTTTACTGGTATACAGGCAAACAAGATTTAGTAGCCACCTCAACTACAGAGGCAGAATATGTTTGTCTATCTAAGGCAGCAAATAACCTTGTATGGTTCAATGATTTACTCTCTGACATTTGGAAAAAACCCATTTTGCCTTTTATCATGCATGAAGATAACAAAGCTGCTATCGAAATATCTAGATCTGATGCTATTGGACAAAGGTCCAGACATATAGATATAAAATTTAAACATGTGAGACAGTTGTCTCAGGATGGATTTATCAAAGCAGTTCATTGCGAAACATCAGAGCAAATAGCTGACATATTAACAAAGCCTTTACCATCTAAGCAACATAAATATTTGACTTCTAAGTTACATGTATTATATTGTTCTGAATCTGAATGTAATTGTTGTAATATATCGAATCGGCATTTAGAGGGGGATTTGTCACAAGTAAATGCCTTATTCTCCATTATGTAAATAATACATGAACAGTGTGTCAGGGGTTAACTTATTCTTCACTTCTTAATGTATTCATACTTTACCACTCCCATACTTAGCTCCACCCATTGTATATATAAGGAGCTGCATACGTTCATTCTGAGCTTCTATCTGTGAATATTCAGTGAATATAGAATGCCTTATGTAAATAAAGAGAGATATATTTGAACTCTTAATTCTTAAATAATTTATTGAGTCTGATCCTGAAAATATCGCAACAATTTCAGAATAAACACTTAATAAAGTTTATTTGAACTCCTGCTCTATGTTGCATATTTCTGTTCACATCTTTATTTTTTCATTACTTGCAGTCTCAGCTGCTGCTTATACAGCTGTCAGTTCCCAGATCTCACAAGGACCTGAAGGTGAAGGTGAGGTAAGAGCTGAAAACAGATTTTCATCTTATTCACAACAAATCTGCCTTTGAAACAACAAAGGAACATTTTAAAATTAAATAGCACTGACGTAGGCCTCCTTCAGCTGCAAGAGTGATGGGATCTGTCAAATTTGTTTAGGTTTTCCCTACTAACCCATAACATTCTGCTAAGTTCTCCTTTATTTTGCAAATGTTTCAAGCATGGCTCTCTTAATTGAATTTGCCCCCTTGCTTGCCTCACCACACCCCAACCTTTAGAAAAAATACTGCTGAATTTTTTAAAAAGTTTCTTCCAATTCACCATTCTCTGAGGTTCCTAAGTATGCCATATTCCATTTAGCGGCTTTTAATAAGTGGACCATTCTTTCTGCTATGAACACGTTCCTCGTAATGACATTTTTGAAAATTGTTTCTTTTAAAATAATGATTATACTGTGGAGTAGAAGAAAAAACATTGATGGATTTGGTACTGCTCATGAAATGGTAATCAGGAGTTGATTTTTCACCTCTGTCTATATTTATAAATTTCAGTTGTATATCATTGATACATATAATATGTTATATTTCTTCAATCAATGTGGAGAAATGTACTAGGTCAGGGGTGTCAAACTCGATTTCATTGAGGGCCACATAAGAGTTGTGTTTGACCTCGGGGGGGATGGGAGGCATGGCTGGGGTAGGCATGGCCAGCTTGACGTCACTCATGTTGGCGGTGCCTGTGGTGACCCGAACGATCTGCCAGTGAAATGGGCTTCCGAGCTCTGTTTTCAGCTGTGATGGCCTCCTGATACCCTCTGCCAGCAAACACGGAGCTCGGGAGGGTTGTGTGTCGCCCTCCTGAGCTCCATTTTTGCTGGCAGAGACACTGCAGGCCAGTCCTTTGCTATTTCCAGGGCCAGATCTAAGCACCCCCCTGACCAGATCCAGTCCGTGGGCCTTGAGTTTGACAGCTCTGTACTAGGTGGTTGTATTCAATTACAGCAGTGATTGGTGTATCATTGGAAGACCAGAGAGTTCAGGTTAAGAACAAATGCTCCTGGAAAAAAAATCTATCTAAGTAGTCACTAACAGTCGACATAACTTAATGACATAATCAATCACACACATCAAAGTCAAGATGCTTGTGTGTTTACCTCCTGAGGAAAACATGGCAGACTAAAGATGGCTCCATGAGAAGAGGAGCCAGCGACCATGTAACATTGAAAATGCAAAAGGATATTTTTGAAAAAAAATGGAATCAGAAGTTATTATTAGTGAGGTCAATAGCTATGTTTGCTTCCATGGATAGACTGTGTCAAAAAGAAGTTTTGGAACAAATGACAGAAGAAATCTTTGATTTCAGAGGCTGAGTTAGCATCGAAAGTGGATCTACAAATGACAGGCAACAAGAAAGACACGGAAAACGGTATTTCTTTGGGTATACAAAAAAAAAAAATCAAAAGGGAATTATAAACAGTAAACCAAGAGAAGAACCTGCACAATTCGTTTACATTAGATTTACAAAAGAGGTTTGTTAAAGCTTGAATGAACCTTATGAGGACGGCTAAAAAAAAAGAATGAAAAGAAATTGAGTTCTATGACATTACTTGAACGGACTAAATAACAAGATTGCTAGAAATAAAAGGAGGGAATATAAAGTTTGTTTAAATGAACAAGGTTAAAATAGATATGTTGTTGTTTCTGGCATTCCTTAATGGACTTTTGCTGACACTAGGACTAAAATGTTGATGCTTTATGGGCTTGTTTATAGCTAACAAATAGGACACCGGATGAAGAGATTTATAAATTAAGAGGAAATGAAAAGCTATCAAAATGGTTTATACTTCTTGTGATCAAAGATGGGAGTCACTTCTTCATACACAGAATGTGTTTTCTTTTCCTTTGTTATTTCCTTTCTTCTTCTTTTTTCTGTGATTTTTTTCCTTTTCTTTGTACTTTTTATTCTTTCTTTCTTTCTTTCTTTCTTTCTTTCTTTCTTTCTTTCTTTCTTTGTATTAGCTTGTATTATTGCGATTATAACCTTTAATTACATTATTTTTAAAAGTATGTGTGTCTATTTACATGGCCATGGGCATACACATTAAACTGTATAAATTCTGTTTTCCTGTTTTTCTACAAACCCAGAGTTCATCTCTTAATTTTATGCTGCAAAGAGAAGGAACTATTTTAGGCTAGCTAAGAGATATAATGCCACACTATGGATGATATTTTTTCCTCCCATGCAGTCGGTTATATCCCTATTCCACATGAGAAATCACTGATGCAAGGTACCTTTTGTGCTGGAATTTCATTTTTCACCTTACTTTTTGAAAGTGCACAGTTCTCTCATTTCTTAGCAAATGAGCATAATAATGACAGGGCGTTTTTGTTCCTTCTGCCATGGAACTGAAACAGATTGGAAGGCTGAGCCTGAATACTTGCTATACACAGGAACAAAAATATGACATTTCATTAATCCATTTTTCCTTTGCTCTCTCAGCCCATTAGAAAAAAAAAATGTACAGAGGTAGGAGAGTCAGGCAAGGAAAGATTGTTTTTTAGTAAGACAAGGAGGCAAAGAGGAGGGGCATGCAGTCTTGAGAACCAAAAAAAGAATTGACATCCTAGAAATTTGCAAGTAGAAGTTGCATATTGGAATTTAACTGAAGTGAGATCACGGTAGCTGTTTAAAGATTTATGCCGTAATGTGAATTCCCAGCACAACTGCTTGATAGTGGGATTGGAAAGACATTGTTAATAGCCATGTTGAAATGTTTTCAGATATTGTTTAGATAATTTCTTTTAGAGATCCTTTCACCCTCCAAAATTTCTCATCCATTAAAGGGAAGGTAGCATGGCGCATCTTATCTGCTACAATCAAGTAGATTGTCAGATGCATGTGTTATTTTTAGTCAATAATTGCTTTCAGATCAATGTAGTGTAACCTGTTCTAACAATAGTGGATTTGGCAGGGGTCTCAGAGCTTCTTCAGTTGTATGTTAGGCCAGATACCGTTCAACTGTCTTTAGAACAAACTAATATAAGGTAAAGGTAAAGGTTCCCCTCACACATATGTGCTAGTTGTTCCCGATTTTAGGGGGTGGTGCTCATGTCTGTTTCATAGCCGAAGAGCCAGCACTGTTTGAAGACGTCTCTGTGGTCATGCGGCCAGCTGACTAACCACCAAAGGTGCACTGAATGCTGTTACCTTCCCACCAAAGGTGATCCCTATTTTTCTACTTGCATTTTTTACCTGTTTTTGAACTGCTAAGTTGGCAGAAGCTGGGACATGTAACGGGAGCTCACCCCATTATGTGGCACTAGGGATTCGAATTGCTGAACTGCCGACCTTTCGATTGACAAGCTCAGCATCTTAGCCACTGAGTCACCGCATCCCTTACTAACTAATATAGTCAGTAGTAAAGGATTTTGTAGTCCAATAGTCTTTGAAAGTTACCTATTGTGCTTCTTTGTTTTCTTTCTTTCTTTCTTTCTTTCTTTCTTTCTTTCTTTCTTTCTTTCTTTCTTTCTTTCTTTCTTTCTTTCTTTCTTTCTTTCTTTCTTTGAATCAGGTCAGGCTTCCCCAACCCGTTGTCATCAGGATAATTGATAATACACAGTATGGATAAGGGCTAACTGAGAAATATTGGATTTAGGAGCTTTGGGGGGAGTTCAGAGAGAGAATTCTTTCCTGAAGCTCACCTGCTGGTTTAATTTTTTTCCCATTGTATTCCGTAGACGTGCAATCTATCTCTTGCTCTCTTTTTGCCATTGGTGTTATTGGGACCATGCGAGAAATCCAAAATACTCAAGTAACTGCTGGAGTGTTATGTGTTAAATACTGACCTTTACTGTCTTAAATTAAAAAAAAGCTTTGATTTGTCTATTTTTAAAATAGTGAAATACTTTGGATGCAGGCCCCTCTACATATACAGTTTAGACTATTGCTCTCCACCTATGTTATGCTGGAAGCATTGGTTCCAATGTAATTTCAAAGCATCAGATTGTAGAAACACTGTTATAGGTTTTGGGGCAAGAAGGCATCTTGAACTGTCTTTTTGTTCCCAGTAATTTCTTAGCATTCATTTCAGGATACAATTTTAAATGCAAGATAAAAATTTTAAGGTTTCTTTCCCCCTCTTACTTTCTTTTCTATTTTCTGTTGGGAGGATTTAAATGAAAGGAATGGCAAAGACAAAAGCTTGTCAGGGCAAATAAATAATGAAAGAGAGAAACACTGCTGCAGGAGAAAGAAATAAAGAACAGAAAGAATCAAAATGACACTTCAGTTAAAATACCAGTACCATTTAGGTCTCCAGAGACTTGGGATTGACGTGCCACCTATACGTGAGCGGCACTCAGCTTTACCTTTCATTTGCATCTATTCAACACAGGTAGGCTGTGAACCTCTTGAATCTGTGTCTGATGACGGTGTGGAGATAGATCAGGAAGAATAATTTGAAAATTATTCTAGGAACAACACAAATGCAACAGACGGCAAAACTGAGTATATCAGATGGGATCTTGCCTAGTTGCTTTATTATTTTATTTTATTTTATTTTATTGTTTATTATTGTTTATTATTAATTAATTAATTAATTAAATTATTCATTCGTTCGTTCGTTCGTTCATTTGTGTTTGTTTGTTTGTTTGTTTGTTTGTTTAGTCAAGCATGTATTAGATAGCAGATATAAGTATAAACATGACTATTAATATATGAATTGGATACGAATAAATGGGGACAGTAGGACAGGGACAGTAGGCACGCTGGTGTGCTTATGCATGCCCCTTACAGACCTCTTAGGAATGGGGTGAGGTCTACAGTAGACAGTCTAAGGTTAAAGTTTTGGGGATTTGGGGAAGAAACCACAGAGTCAGGTAGTGCATTCCAGGCGTTGACCACTCTGTTGCTGAAGTCGTATTTCCCCTTAAAAAGAATTTGTATTATTTTCTTGATTTGGTGAAATAGAATAACCAAAATATAATCAACAAGGTAAGAAACAATAGCAAGACACTGACAG